ACATACAGAATTTTGATATAGAATTATTAATTACGTATACAAACCTTATAAAAAACGTATCATTTCTTTATTTCGATTTCTTATAGGGTATTAGGTCTTTTGCTTTAAACCAATCAGCCATATTATCAAATCCTTCAAAATTTAGCTTTTGACCATTTTCACTATTTGCTCTTTTGTAACACTGATGATATCTGACTAATGCTGATACGTGGTCACATAACTTTTTATGAGGCTGGAATATCATTGCTACAACAAATTACAGCTATTCTGATATTTCTACTAATGGGTAATTATTGGTAACCAGTAAGTAAACTCTATTCTAAAATTCCAGTAATTCATCTATTATTAGTGCGAAAAATTAGTTAATATTATGCAATTTTACTTCATTTGGTTCTGGTAAAAGCCTAGAGTCAACATATTCTCCTTTTTAAATTGAACATCTCATGAAAGATTATAAATTATGCTATATATCACACCACTGCTATAAGAAGCTGAATCAAAGGGTTAAAACTAATCCAAGTTTATCATAATGCCTAAATGCAAATCGCAATTTCAGATGTAAAAAATTGAGATTGTTCCAAATTATCTGAATAACCAAGATGTGATAGAAAAGTCTTTCAGATTTTACCATCGTAGATATCGGTCATAAAACCAGATTCAGTATCCCAGTTGACCCATTTATTCAAAAGTGATTCAAACCCTGATCTTTGATACATCGATAATATTTGATTCTTTAAAGATGGTAATAGATATATCATCTTTGGTCACTAGACATATCTATTATTCATTAGAACCCTCATCAGCAATTCTAATCCATAAGATTTACGTTGATTTTTTATCGGATGATTTGGGGTTTCTATATAGGTACATTTAAATCCTGAATTTACATTATCATCTGAATTTACTAGAATTATTATTGTAATATCATATAATTTGTTACAATCAGGACAAGTCGCAAAAGTTTTTGATTTTTTCCTGTTACCTAGTAATTTCCAAGATATATAGGCAGTTGAAGGGAATTCTTCAAATTGATGTGAATCAACATCTTTTAAAATGAGGCTAAATAAACCAATTAACGAGTTGATCACAATATCAGGAAGTTTAAACCTTTCTTGATATTTAAATATTCAGATAAGGATCCATGAATTGCTTACATTCATATTCATAATAAGATCCTTCTGATTAGAATCATAATTAATATTAGCATCAGAAGTCACAAATAATTCAATCTGATTCTCATCATCGTTAGAGAGTAGTTCATCATTATCTAATGCTAGTTCATCATCAACTGACCAAGAATCTTCTTCATCACCAAATTCATCAGATGAGCCAACTTGTTGCATAGGTTCTTCATCTGAAATGATAATGGTATTATCAACATTATGAAACTGATCATACCTTTGTCATCTTTTTTTAGCAGAAACTTACTTCGTAATAAAAAATTCTTCATCAGATTGTTCTTGATCACTATCAATCATCGCATTATCTTCATAAAGATTTTGAGAAGAACCAACAGCAATGGATTGAACTTCAGCCAAAGAACGAATCTTTGAACTATAAGTATATACTGGTATTGAATTAGCTTTTCTTTCTTTATCTTTCTTCATTTTAAAGATAGAAACTCAAAGCTGTTTCTCTTCTAATTTGTGTTTTTGTCTTGTTTTTGTTTCGATCAGTTTACCATTGCATTTTATACAATTACATTGCACTTTTGGTTGAAGTTTTGTAGATTTTGTTACTGATGCTGCTAATGCTATTGATGTTTCTTTATTTGATTCTTTTTTTATTGCTCAGTTAAACATTTTTAAAAAATATAAAGAGATCAAAAAGAAACTAATAAAACAGGTGCTAAACTCATATATAATATATATATAATCTTATCTATAAGAAATCAATTGTAAGTAAAAAAGCTTTAACTTTATTCTGCTGATATTTAACTTCTTATTATGTTCTATGTATACTAAAGCTTATCAATTTAATAGATATAAACAAACTTTTGAAATAACTCAACAAGAAACTTTCTTTTCTCTTTTCCTATACACTCAAATAATTTCTTTAGCGACTCATACTGTCCTTTATTACTCATAACTCATCGCTCTACTAAAAGTAAATTGTTTTCTCATTCAAGATAAAGCAAAGACAGTTCTTAGTCAAAAAGCAAAAGAGTTATAGATAGAAGTTGATCAAGAAACAGAAGAATTACCTTTAAGGGAAGTACAAAATATATCAAATATAACAGGTAATATAATATAATAACAATAATATTTGCTTACTTAGCTCATTGCATATAACTTTTCCATAATTATCGGCATAGGTCTCCATCATACAGTCAATCTGATTCTTCAGAATCTGATAGAGAATCTTACGAGAGACCACAGAATCACAAAAATAATAATAATAAAGCGGAGGAAAAGGAAGAAGGCAAGCTTTAATTTTATTATCTTCAATTATCTATATATTGTTTATATTACCATCTATATGTATATCCATTTATAATTTTCAGATCTGATTGCTTCGCTTTTACAAGAAGGCAAAATTCGTGATCTGCTCAAGGAATTAGTTAAAAGTAAAATGAAGAAACCAGAAATAGATATTTTTCTTCCAAACATAAATGTAAATTAAGATGATAATGACTTACAAATTCCGTTAGAATGACATTCAAACGATTATTCTGATATTGAAGATTCTAGAATCGTTTGATTTGAATACAAGCAGTAGCCTTTACAGAAGACAAAACTGTCCACAATCAGTTTCCAAAAAAAGAATTAAAAGAAAATCTTCAAGACCTGATTCAAACTCTTCTAATCCTGATCATGATGAAAGTGTTATAATGCTTCAGTATTTATATTCGATGGACTTATCTGACGATCTCTGAGAAGCCTTGAGGGTAAGTAATTTTTTATTTATTATATATATACTGTATATACTAATGTTATAACTTTTATGTTTAGCATCAAGTTTTCTGGATAATCGAAAGATTACCTTCTGAAAGTCAATTAAAATTGGATGAAACGTTTAATGCTCAACATCATCTCATAAATGATATAATAGTCATAACTGTTATAGAAGCTTTGGATTCAGATATGTTTCCTGTCGCAGATATCTTTGTATATAATATAATTCACATTCGAAACAAGCACCAACGTGAAGAGTATTTGAAAAAACAACAATCATTAGCCTTTTAAGACAAACAGGCCAGACGGAAACATTTAATTAGCCGAAGGAACAATGTAAGCAATGAGCAAATTTTATTCGTTTATTTTTATTCTTTACTAATTTATTATATTCAATAATTACAGAAACGAAAAAATCAGGCTAATACAATCGAGCGCTTGAAAGCCATCAAAGATCCATTAATTCAAATGTTCAAGGATAATGAACTTCTATCAATCAAGAATAATTCCTAATACCACTCATCCGAAGTATCAGAAACTGATCAGAATGATCTTTCTAGTAAAAGGAAGATTGTTGTAAAGGATCTAAAATGGCGTTCGGCAACAGTAACATCAATAAATATCATTTGATTGAACTTTTAATTATTATTACACAAACTAATTTTTTCCTAATTTTTGTTCGTAGTTACGATCATTTTTTCGCAATTATGTTGATCATGTATTTTCTGAATCATCTAAAGTTTCGAAAAAACGAATCCATGTTTATGATGAAATTAATACTTATAACAAAAAGTTCATAGCACCATTCCAGATTCCAAAATGAACCATTGATGGCTATAAAGGTTCTTTGAAGGTAACTATCGAAAGGGCTTGTAGCAAGCGATCACCTCATACGTCTCATTAACAATTGAAAACACCCAATCCAAATTCACAACCAAGACCACCGAGATTATCAGGTCGCAATTTGAGAATAAAGCCTAGAAAATTAATCTACTACAGAATCAATTAGCAAACAGTTAAATATTGGGAAAAAATATTATTAAAAATATAGCTGATTTTAGTAATACACCACACATTAACATTTTATTACAGAATAGTGAATAACATTTAGTAATCATTTCGCAACTAATAATTGAAAATTTATTTTTTATTAATTTGATTAATATTACATTTTAATTAAATATGTGAAATATATACAAATCAACCTAATTCGGGAGCCCGATTTATGTAAAATTTGCTTAAAGACTTTAAATAGTAAGGTTACTGATACAACACTATAAGATTAATCTGATATTTCGGATGAAGTTTAAATTAAAGATTAAAACCAATTGGGAGATTTCTGATTTAACTTTATTTTTTAATCCGCCACTATGAATTAGTTCCAATAGTCCTTTCTATTGATATCCGATATATTCCCGATTTTTAGCATTCTGATTGGGTTTGGTTGTATACCGATTGCCGCCATTAATTGACCACAATCGGCATTCATAAACATGATTCAATATGCTCTAATCAGCACCCTACCAGTATCCAATAAGAAAGGCTATTGATATCTGATTAAATGCCGATTTGTCATCATTAGACTAGTGATATACAGTATCAGTATATAGATCACGGAAAACTTAAACTTTCGCTCCTAATACCTACCAAAACCCACTTGATTGACTTGTTCAAATTTTACCAAAGCGAAAAAAAAAAATATATGTTTCATAAATTTGTCACAACAAAATTCTTTTTTATTGTGTAATGGCTTTAACCCTGTAACATATGGAAGCGTTTCCAGTAAAATCACATTACAGATCATATGATTTACTATGCCTCATGACTTGATTTTACTGGAAACGTTCCCATATAATATTTGAACTCTGTTATTACTGGCTCATATGATCGTACTAGCATACGACAGGTGCCTATAGACATAATAAGGTAACCTCTTAATTTAGAGGATCCTTTTTCAACTATGATTCTCGAATCTAGAATACCTGAATCGGTAAAACTTTTCACCATCCCTTTTGTAATCGTTTTGATATATCTGTCCAACTGTTGATACCCGTCATTCAAAATGTCATACAACTGCTGCATCACAAATTTTTTTTCCTCTTTTGACTAATACATATATTTACGTTGCAACAACTGCTCTTCATTCTCATTCTCAAGATATTTATCCAACAGGTTCATAATTTTTGTGTCTGGGTTCTTTATCCAGAATCCCTGTGCTCCACTTAACAGGCCAGTAATTGTAATATATTTGAGTTCTAATACAACATTTGATATCAATGGGCCATCCCCACTTTCAAAAACAAAAAGGTCCACAAAACCAAAGCGTCCGTCACCACTTTTCTTCATTCCATCAACTATAAGACGACATTGGAAGGAGAATTTCAAAAGTTACTTGCATCACGGCTTCGTTGGCAGTTCTTAATGATATCATAGGTCTATTATTGAAGAAGTTTTTTGTGAGTTCTACCAGTGGATTTACGGAGCCACGTATAAGTTGATTGTATGCAGGAAGTCTGTGTTGAAAAAGATTTCTGTTGGAACTTATATAGTCCACAATTCGGGTTATAACCTAAATGAAATTAATATTATTTAGGATTTCCTTATTCGAGAAAACACATACTTCAGTCCTTGTTACTTGATTTGGGATTATCAATTTTCCAGCATAGTCACGCGTCAATATCCCAAAATAATACAAAAAAGACCATGTGAGCCGTTGATGATATTCTATATCTTGTTCTCCAGTCCTGAGGAAATCAGAATAATTAAAATTATTTTGAAGTTTGGTAAAAACCATCCCATTTGTGAGAAATTTGAAGAGATCGTCAATAGAGACTGGGCTCTGGTCAGCGATGCATGTGAGTATCTTTGTTGAATTTACAGCAGCTGACTCTGAAGGTTTAAAAACAAGGCCGCGACTTTGTCTTTCTCTCAAATAATGAAAAATTAGATGAATATTATATAGAAAGGGGGTTTGAGTATTGGATCCTGTGTTAACAAAGTTATATCCAAAATACAGATGTCTCATTTGATCCATTGCATCATTTACTATCTGCATATTATTATCAAAATAACATTTAGCAATTGACTGTACTTCTTCTTCCGTAAAACCGCAAATTCCAAAGAATTGTGGTCTTTCTGAGATATCATCCAATATAAGAAGCGGACTAAGCCCTGCACGGAATGCAGGGGCAACTCCTGTGACATATAATTTATCAATAGGGCCACAGCATCCTCTTTTGATTACTGCAAAAAAATTTGTATATGAAAATTGCTCAACAACATCAACATCATTACGCTCTGTATCATTCAGAATATGAAATTCATGTTTGAACGCGCAGTTGTTACCCGGAGTGTCATATTCATCAACTCCAATAAACTGATTGCTTACGGTAGACTTTATGATCGTTAATATATGTTAAATAGCACGCATACAAGACAAATATAGAAAATATGGAAATATAAATAATACAACTTACCATGACATTTTGAAGAGATATAGAGGCTTGCTTGACGATTAATTTGTCAATGTCTGGATATTCCAGCTCTTCGTCGTATTTCTCAACAAAATCTCGCAATACATGATTAACATTCCCATTGAAACTTTCCTCCATCATTTTATAAAAATGAACATTAATGGATGAGAGATCAAATTTAAGAACTAAACATTTGTTTTGTGAATTCGTAGGATGTTGTCCAATATAAAGTGGTCCAAAAAGCCGAGAAAATTTGTCTGCATTTTTAATGTCATAATATTGGCAGAGCATATCAAGGAATGCCGATTTTCCAAATCTACGTGGTCTAAGGAAAAGAACTCTGAACCTCAAACCTTCCTCTTCTAGCTTCTTAATATATATGGTTTTGTCAACAAACAACATCCCCACCTCAGAACGGAAATCTATGAAACTAGGATTGCAGTGTGGGATTATTGTCTATGAAGGTTTGAGAACAAAAATCAGTAATTTAACAACAGTAGGCCATAACAATTTAAGGTCATACTTTTTTATTTGCCTCCGTTTCATTTTTCGCAACAACCTTAAAAGTAGTGGAAGTTCCTTCTAAGGACTCGACATTGAGAATTGGAACATTAATTTTATTTGTAATTTTAGCCTGCAAGAACCCAAATAGGTATAAGTTTTAACCTGAGAATAATTTACAGTTGCATTATTATCCCACCTTCTTTAATATTTCGTCATGATCATTGTCCAAATATATTTTATCTCGCCTTTTTCCTATCATAGTTTCTGGCAAGATCAGTTATTGCACACGCTGATTCGTGACATTGTCTAATTTTATATGTGCTTTGATCACATTTACTGCTTTATCCACGTTGGAGAATTATCCCATAGTTCACATACTGCTGCAATATCGAACTTTTCGATAAAAGAACAAAAGTATGGTAAACAAATAAAATAAGAAGCACAGACGGCTGGGTGCGGAGGACGTACCCAAGCATCTCCCAGGATGTACCCAGGAAATGTGCACCCAATTCAGCTACTTGCAGTGGACGTACCCTCTTAATCAGGACGTACCCGAAAGAGTTGCAAGAGCCTGGCAAAAAAGCTCCATCTACATGCTTCATTAAATGTTTAAAATTTTCAAAGTTTATCTAGTAAAATGTAAAATAAACTTATCTTCTTTCACTTATTATTTAAAAGCTTTTGTGTAAAGTTGCGAAGTTCCAAAGAAGCTTGTTGATCAATATTTATTGTTTGTAAAGCCTTATAAATGTTTGATGAGATTTATCTTTATCTGTAAAACCACTGTCAATTGCCCAGTTAACAAAATGGCTTAATGACCAGATCTCATAGGGATAAATCTCAAAATACTTAGCCTGGGGATGTTTCCACGTCTTGATATTTTCAAATGAAGGAATGTCACTTGGCATGTCTGTAAAGAAAAGGACTGAATAAGCTATTTAATAACGATACAGACTCTGTCTTAGATTTTATAATATACCAGAAATTGTAAAGTTATTCTCCTTAATGTTCTTAATTAAGTTTAAGATTGCTAAAGCTGATCCCATCTTCAAATTGCAATCTTTAAGTTCATCTTTTGTCAAAAGAAGAAAGGTATGCCCTGTAAGTTTTGCCTCGTAAATAAGCCTTAAATCTTCAAAATCAAGTTGCAAGTCCTTTTGCTCTCGCAAAAATGCTAGAAGTTCCTTTGTTTTCCAATTCCTGACCAATTCATTTGCCATCTTTGCGGAAGTTTTGAGAAAAATGATTATCAGAAATTCATTAAGGGTTACACACACTATATATCACGAGTCATGTGTGTCATAACAATAAAGTTTCTAATTCTCATTTTTTTTTTAAATTTGATTGATTTTTTTTAATGTAAAAATTCTAACAGATATTTCTTCATAGTGTCAAATAGTGATGTTAGCCGGCTAAGGAATTTTTAAATATGTCTTTTATAGTAAGTAAAGATTATTTATCTTAAAAATAATAATAAATAAAATGATATAGAAATTACATTCTTTCTGATTACAAATGTAATCATGTTAAAACTACTAAATTTGGGTTCCTGAAATTCTTGGTAATATTAATGTTCACTTTGTCTGGTTTTGTTGCAGCATGCCCCATATATAGTAACATATATGACAAAATCTAAGAGCCAGTCAAATTTATGAGGTTTATCTATAAAATAGAGAACTTAGGTTAAGGGTTTGAGTGGATAATTATAATGCATTAAAAGTTATTGCCACTATTCTGATACCATCATGATGATTGAATAATAAAAAAATTAAAATATATTAAGTTAAGTCTTAAAGTAACTACTTTCATATTTGAACATTCATTTGAATAATATTTCTAATATACTAATATATCAAATTTAGTAATAATTAAATTAGTATATAATATCAAATTTATTAATAAATGCTAATGCTATCAATATATATTATTTACCTTAATACAACTCATTATATTCATAAGGAGTCATATCAATAGGTTTTCTCTTTTCTGTTTATTAACTCCAATCTTATAAATCTTTTATCATAATTATCACATTTAACAAATGGTGGATTTTCACTTGAAATTTGCTATGCCAATACTTTAATATTGTATATATTAGATTTTTTATCCAATTTGTAATTTAGATCATTGAAACTATTCAAAAAATTATTATATTTAAATTGTGAACTTTAAATAAGTTAAACTAAAAATCTAATAATCTAACAACAATCATAAAATTTTAACAATATTTAATTTTTACTTATAGTAATTGGCTATTAAATATCAACTTTTAAAAATATTATATGGGAACGTTTCCAGTAAAATCAAGTCATGAGGCATAGTAAATCATATGATCCGTAATGTGATTTTACTGGAAACGCTCCCATATGTTAAATTTTTAGGCTTTGAAACACTTTCAGATATATTGATAAAATGTGTAATTAGCAAAAATTCAGATAAGCAATTTTATTATATGATATATATTATAATCTTCCAGTTAACCTTTATACTTCTAGATTATTTATCACTAATCAGAATCACCTGATTTTAAAAAACAAAATAAGTATGAGACCAAGCAAAATAAATCTAATAATCCAGATTTGACCTGATTAGTTCTTTATTTATCATCATTTTATTAGTGTAAATTAAAAAAATCATATCAATTAATTATGTAAAATCAATTTTTTTATATATAATTTATCTATTTTTAATAATAACTTGTGCATATTTTATGATGTATAATATATATACATAAAAAATAATATATATATATATATACACATATAGATTTTATACATTAGTTATAATTCAAAAAGTTATAATCTAATAATTATGAAGTTATCTTTATCTATAAGAAAATATCTTTAGAAACAATATTCTTCAAGAAATAATTTTAATAATGTCCTTTTGAAGAAAATGTTACAAAGATTATTTCTTTAAAAAAAATACTTCAGAAAACATTTTATTTAAATATAATAAATACTCTAGAAGTATTATTATTTAAAAAAAATATTTCAAAAGTATTTTTATTTAAATGTAATATTATGATAACATTTTATTATAAGAAATACTCTGAAAGTATTTTTCTTAAAAGTTAATATGAATTTGTTATTTTTAAAAATGAAAAAAATAAGCTGATAAATTGAGTTGCATCATAAGTTAAGATGTAATATAAGTTGACTTAATTAGCTTGCAAACTATTTTATAGTAATTTAAGATAAGCTTTAGTAAGCTAGCTTATGAGAGATTGCAAGTTAGTTCAACTTATATAAAGCTTTATAATATTGCATATATTACAAATTTAAAAATTTAAAAATTCTAATTATTATAAATGAAATATTATAATTAATATTTATAATAATTTATATTGATTATATTATAATTGATTAATTTATAATGTAATTAATTTAATATAAATAATTTAAAATATAAAAATATTAAAAAGAAAATGGTATAATTTTAGCTTTTTTATACAATTTTAAATTAATAATAATATTATAAATATATAAATATAATATATTAATCAAATATTCAATAATACTTTAATAATACATAATTTTTTTAAAAAAAAAAATATCAAAGCAATTTAAAATAATTATTTTATTGGTTTACTATCTAAAAAAATATACCAAAAAAATAGAAATAATTTTTTTATTATTATTATATAATATTTGATATTTGATAACTAATAATTAATCAGAAATTGAATTCTCTCAAAATACATAATAATTAAGATATTCATAGTAAATGAACTCTGTATATTAAAGAAGAGATTAGTTATAAAAGGTAATTATTAAATCCTAAATAATAATTGCTATATAATAATAGCACTATACAATATACATATATTAGTTATTAACATCAATTATCTACATTATTAAGTACTCATAAACGTTTAAAATGGTTGTCATAAGAAATAGGTGGTGACTCATAAACGATGGGATTAAAAGATTCGTGAACACTTTGAATAAAACAAATTCTTTAATCAAAAAAGAAAATAAATTGGTTACCAAAATTTTTTGAAATAAAAAGAAAAATAAGAAGACGAGTAAAATTTCATCATTCACCTGATAATATCTATCAAGTTTATTTAAAGCGATTTCAAATTCATTTTTATTTCCCCAAGGAGCATAATAACGATTAAAATCTTCATTAATATCCAAATGATGGGGATTATTATGATGAGGAAAAGAATAATTTTTTCTAACTCTAGCAATTATAAGACTAGGTTCTTCATGTTCTGTTGCGCCCCACGCATGGCGAGATTGGTGTTCACTCTTATACGAAGAAGTTGTTGAAGAAGAAGAAGATCTTCTACTATGATCACTATGATAAAGAACAGGAGGATCTGCTTGTGATGTTGGATCTTTCGGATAAGTACAATTATTATGATAGCGTAAACCATAATCAGTGAATGATCGATTAACTTTATTATCATCATAATATGAAGGTAGAATCTAAAATAGAATTTTTTTTTTATTATTATTTAGAAAGGGAATTAGAAAAAAGTTGGTCCATCAAGGGTACTTACGACTTGTTTTCGATAATAGTCACTTAAAGGGTAAGGTTCTATTGCATCACAAGTAACGTGTTTATGACCTTTAGAAAAGAGAAATTCATCATATAAGCGACGCCATCCCCAAATTTTATTTCTTGGTCTCCAATGCCATTCTACTTTTGGATCTATACAAGAAAAATATTGTCAAAGAATGATGGAAAGGATAAAAAATTTATATATATATATATATATATATATCAATACATACTCCTACATTCTACCAAATAAAGGTCAACACCATTTTCAGTTCTTTCGTCATGAATAACTATAGGACGCTTACCATCTCTGTATGAAACGAGTATAAACATTTCATTATATTTCCAAGATATTGAACAGCAAAAAATTAAAAGGGTTTTTGACTTTTTTTATAATTTTACGCGTCTATCAACCAAAGAAAAAAAATCTTACCGGTTAAGTTTATCTTTGCGAATTCTATCTGGTCCAGTCATATTTTTTGTATTTTATGTTCATTAAATAAAAAAGAAAAACTTTTACGGGTCAAACCTTTCAAAAGTAAATAAATTAATAAATATAATATACAAAGAGTGAATATATGAGATTTTAGAACACGTATGATAATTGCGTGGAATATTGATAAATTCGGAGAACAATGCACGATTAATTCATGCCTTTTATAGTGATGCACCATCAACAGTTAATTTCCTCAACATATTTTTTTTTAAAAAAGGGGAGGACCTGATAATAAACGAGATTTCTATAAAATGCTATAATTATACCATTTTTACAATTTAAATAATTTGACAGACAAAAAAAAATTGACAAAAAATGAAAGTGTTCTAAATCCAATTTCATCGTTTATCTTGTAAATTTGTCATAATAAATTAAGTAATCTTTACCTAGAAGAAATATTTACTAATTAATCATTTCCGTAACAGTTAAAGTGATACAAAGTGTTATAACAATAATGTCTATAGAACAAATGTTCGCACTTACATAATGTCTAATGATTATACAAAAAAAAACAAGCGGGAAAGTAACAAAAAATTGTTCTTTTCGCAATCCATAATAAGCTCTATAACATAGATCGTTGTAAATTGTAAGAAGGGGTAAAAATTTATAATTAAGTTTACATAAGTTATCTAATGAACTTTTAAATTAAAATTTTACCAATTACTAATTACATGCAGTGACTGAATCATCATTCGTGACTTTCTTCCAAGAAACAAACCTGCCCTTTAAAAAGGTTACCTATTACTTATTCTAAAAAAATAATAATAAAAATGTCCGAACAGATTATATAAAGAATCTCGTGAAATATGCTCTGAGTACATTATCTTCCTATAGTAGAAGGTCATATATCATCTAAATAAGCAGAGGAAAAAATGGTATCGTGAATTCTTGCTGATTCGTTGAACTTGTTGGAAAGACCTCGATGACTCTTGGTCCTGTCGATTTTTTACTTATTTTGAGAATAAATGGGTTCTTTTTATTTTTACATAGAATAACTCCTATTATTGGTTTTGATTGCTAATAATTATCCCAGTTTTCACTGTTTGTGAATCGTAACATTGAAATTAATGAGTAATTTCATGAATTTTATAAACTATCGAATAACCATGCATCGGGTCTTGACATCATGATTATGATATACAATGATATTAATGGTGATAATATCCGTCGTCGAGGTTTCGTAGCTATCACCCAAAGACAATTCGAATAATTCTAATTCAGACTATTATCTGGCGTGGATTTTTCTTCGTTTGGAAATTTTAACGTAATTATGATTATTAGTCAAGATATGATTATTATTAATATATGGTGGACCTCGCCTAAATTTTTTATCAGAAATCCTCGATATTCACCAATCAAATTAATTTTGCGCAATCATAATAAATCTGAATTACGTTATTAATTTATAAATAAGGCGATCCTCCAAAACTTTCATACTTACTCTTATACAATGGCATCATATTTTGGTATATTTTCTCGCTCGCAAATGAAGTTATTGAATTTACCTTATCCCACATTCACAATTACCAAAAAAAAAATTTTTTTTTCCTCCTGAAATATTTTTACACAGACGAAAAAGGCATACCTGATCCATCATCGACAAAAAAAAAATCAAATCATAATCCGGATGTTTCCCATTTCTTTAACGATGGTTCTTCCTCTTCTTCAACAACCGGTACTAATGAAGCTATTACGGAACAATTTTTACACTTAGCAAAGTAATTCTTTTGTTTTATACCTCTCTTAATTACCTCTTAAACAATGTTAATTTTAATATATATTTATTTATTTATTGTTGTTAGTTTATTTAATACATTGAGAGACCAAACACCCGATAATAATAATCATCAACAATTTTTAGATAATTTAGTTACGCAATTGTTAGAGGAAGCCAACTCGAGGTAATAAAATTAATCTATCGAATTGATGATGAACCTTTACATGTTAAATATCTTAATTGAACCTCGCTATCTAATCTTTCAAGCGCAAAGGGACCTCCACCGGCTAGTAAAAATTTTATAAAAAATTTGCCCAAAGTACCCAAATCTGAAATCAAGCCTGGTAAAGTTTAAATCTAAAATTTACTAAATTTTCAAATTTATATGATTTATTTAGTTTTCTTTTTTATATATATATAGATGATACGTGCATTATTTGTGCGGAACATTTTCTATCAAATGAGAAGACCAATATAACAAAGTTGCCTTGTAGTCATATGTTTGACAAAGATTGTATTTTACCATGGTTAGAATTGGTAAGTTTATGATTAATTTTGGCATAACAACATGCAATTAGAAAAAAATTTAACGAGATTTCTTTTCTTTTTCTTTAGCATAACACATGTCCAAATTGTAGGTTCGAAGTGGAATCCGATGATCCAGAGTGGAAAAAGAAACAAAGAGAAAAACAAAAAATTGAAGATTCAGAAGAGGAAGACCCAAATGGGATGTACGCGTAATTCGTCGGTGGAGGGGAATGTTAATATTTAAAGTTATTTTGATATAATCTTTTGTTTAAGCACGCCCACTAACACACCTCCAGTGTAATTATTTATTAATATAAATATAAAATAATGGATATGACAACTACAATCTTTAAAAATACAAATATTAAATAAATTGCTATTATCATTAATTATGTTTTCTAAATTCAATAAAGGAGAGATTAAAAAGATTTACCCGGCCAAACAATCAGGAAGGGTGATACCAGGTTTAAGAGATCTATCGTCATAGAAAATACCCCAACTTCCTTCTAATTTGGTCCAAGTTCTTTCTTTCCAAGGAGTATCAAAAGTTTCAAAATAATAATATTTGTACTTTAATTTATTAGCATCGCAAATAAAAGTATTTAAGAAAATTTGTAAATTAGGTATGGAGGCAACAGCGGCACCTTCAGAAGCGCCAGCGGTTGGCCATCCTACTTCGGATATAATGGCATCTTTTCCAACAGCTTTGGCAGGTTTCACATCATTTTCATCGAAAAATTCAAATGTCCATTGACTAGCTTGTTCAACGGGTACACCACCAAAATAAGGATGAACGTTTGCCCACATGATATCATTTGCAGCCACATAGGCGGCATCAACGTTTGAACCTAAATCCGATGTAAATACGGGAACCTTTTTTTTAAATCCCATTGAATTGATTTCTTGTCGTACATCAGCCAATCTTCCGAATAATTTTTCAGGTGTGACCTCTTTACGAAAGAGAACTTCGTTACCCACTGATACCCCATCAATATTATCTACCCCATATTTTTTCACCATATCAATTAAGGTGTCATGTTGACGTTGATAAGTTGTATCATTATTATCAACCCAAATGGTGGGGACGATGGTCATGTCTAATTTTAACAATTTGATGGCTTCAAGGGTCCAATCGGACATATGACAGTCCATACCATATAATCTGATCCTATTAGTTAGTTGAGAAATCAACTTAACATCCTCAATAACATCCCCAAGAGTATTCGTACACCAAGGAAATGTCGCATTAACAGGACCGTAATTTATACCGTAAAAAACCTTTTTTAACGATGGATTTGGTGTGATGGTCAAGTCAACGGGTTTTTTATCCCATGTAAAATAAGTTTCTCCATTCGCAGTTGGGTCCCCTGATTTTTTACCATCATTTGGTTTATTGGAAATATCTATATTATTATCACCATTAATTTTGCCTTTATTTTTGTTCATGTATACATAACCTACACCTCCAAGAACACTTAATAATACAATGATACCGATAGTTGCTACTATAAAACGATATTTTTTTTGACTTTTTTGCTGTGATTTAAGCCAATCGCTTTTCTCTGAATGTCCCATCTTTTTTTTATTAAAACAAAAAAAAAAAAAATTCAAGTATTACAGTATTACAATGGACAAAAGAATCTTGAATTAACATAAATTCCATCTTTAATAAAATACATAAAAAAATTTTTGTTCACTCACGTTATCTTTATCTTAACGGAAATTGGAAAAGTAGGAAATTGCAGTATATAAAAGAGTGTATATACTATATAATTAAAAGAATAGAAAAGGAATAAATCCTTAACTACTTAATGACAAGTAAGGGAGGGAGGGATGAAAAGGAAAAAAGGAGGAAGAAAGGGCAGTTGACAAAATTTGAGCAAAAAAAAAAAATCGATTTATTAAATATTCGTATCACATTTATGTATTGGTGTTCTGTACATACTAAACAAATTTAATTTTAACTAGCACACATATAAATACAATTTCAATTAAAACCTTATTTGGATAAAAAATAAAAAATGCGTCTCTACTAATGCCAATTATGTAAATCCTTGTTATCCAAAAACCTGAGATGGCTGGAATACCATTTGCACATCTAAATAAAATTAATTTTGTAACATATTTATTTTATAAAAAAAAAACAGATCCTCGAAAAATTATTGCAAACCTTTTTGGGAGCCTTTTCATGCAATTCATCCAACAAATGCACGCTTCTCAACCCGGATTTCCTACAACATGGATACTAATCTCAAAAAAAAAATTATAAAAAAAAGCTGATAATAGGATACCTAATACGTGACTTACCATAATACATAAGAAACCAATTGGCCCGAGTCGTTGTGTCTAATAGACTCGATTTCGTCAATCTCTTCGTTCCAATCAATCAAGATATTGGGATCGGCATATGCTCTAACGTTAGGACATTCATTGATTAATTCATATTGATCACTATCTTCATCATTTGTTTCTTCTTCGTCTCCTCTACCATAACATGTTCTTTTTATTCGTGCTGATGGATGTTCAAGTGAGTCCCTTTTCCTTTTCCATTCGTTCCAATAGGTTGATAACATTACGGTATCATTTCTAAATTAACAAAGTTTTTTCAGCATAAAAAAAAAATAAACAAAAAGTCCAAATATTAAACTTACATCGTTTGCGCATTTTCCCAGCTATTATAACTTTCCGACAAATTGTCCCATTTAATCAAATAAGCCAATTGTTTCTAAGGAATGAAAAAAAAATATTCAATATTTATATTATCATCATTTAATAACGTCATCAAATAATTGGTTATTTAAAATGTTTGATCATTACACCATCATATTTATGATTCAAAATTATTTCCGGATAATTCTCATCCTTCTCCTCCTCGATTTCATTGTCATTGACAATAAAATTCTTTAACTCACTCATTTTAGTCTTTGTAAAGAACTAGCACTGGACGTAGCGAGAATTCATCCTTATAAATACTGTTAATTAATGATGTGTAATATTAAACTTTATTAAGTCATCCTAAAGAAAAAAGTTTCAATAAAATGATTTCTATCTATTAGGAACTGCGGATTTTCATGTTCCGATATACTGTATTTTGCTGATGACATGATATTATTAATTAGTCCTCATTATATTAAAATTTTTTTATTTTTTAATTTTTGAATAAATCGGTCTTTTGACCGATAGTAGTCCCGTTTATTATAAATTCGGATCAATAATGGCGTTTTTTGTTGTTTCACGAGATTGCCTAGATACATAGGTCGTTGAAAAGACTAATTAGGGATCGTGCGACTTTTTTGTCTATAGTAGATACTTAAAATACTTTATTTACACTACACATATAACTTTTCTCACCATTTTTTTAAAAAAAATAATATAAAAATAAATAAAATAAAAATGATCATGCTCTTTAATTTATCACGTTTCGTTTCAGGATCAGTATTATGGAATCATGTCATGATAATGCTTGATGGTCATTTTGCACAATTCCCATTGGAAGTTCTATATTAAGGAAATCAATTACAGCAGTAAATCAAAAGAGCTCAAAGCACGTTCCATTTAAAACTCACCTTTGCTTCTTCCAATAATTCCGTTATAATCCACTTTCCTTTTTTCCACCAAGCTCTCTCTTCTTGTATGGTTTTTAAGACGGTAACCCGAATATTTTCCACATCAACAGAACTTCCGACACCACCGACATACTTTGCATGTTTTTTACAAATTTTTTTAATCGCCAATTTGTTTAACGGGATGAAATTGGTTTTAACTAATTCCAAGCTTTTTATAAGCTGATGTAATTTTTGACTTAAATCATGAAAGGTGGGTACTGCGGATGAATTTTGTTGTTGCTGTCGATCAAATTATTTTTTAATTTTTAATTCAAATGCTTAAAAATGTCTTAATTTGTAATTCAACTTACTAAACGGTAAGACTGTAAGATTAAGCTTTGAAAATCGGTTCGAAGATCATCAAGTAATTCCAAGTAGAAAAGTTCAACTTTATCTACTTCATCTTTTAAAGTTTCGAAAAATGATTTTTCGGCGGCAGCTGTGAGCATCGAATATTCCCGGTATTGACTTTTATATCACGGAAAAAATCTTGCTTAAATTATTTCTTTTTTGTGTATCGTGATATCGAATAATTTCTAACTAACCTTATAAGCGGGTTCAACCGTTTTTTCAACTTTTTATAGTCAACATACTTTTGTATCGCAACACGAAGAAAGGGTAAATATGGTTTTTATTTGCTTTGAAGTAGGGACTCGTCTCAAAAACATAAAAAAAAGGTCACCTTTCAAATACCTGTTGAGACCACTCTGAAACTTGGTTATCCAATAGGTTTTTCCCAAATTTCATATCTTTTGTCGGGGGTAAATCCTTTAAAAAAAATTTATTTTTTTATTATTAAAAAAATTATTAAAAATAAAAAAAAAAATTAAAAATTTGTGGAAAAAATTGCGGAAAAAGTTCGTTCGACAAAGGTCGGTTATATACAGTATTGATAAAGAGATTTTAAACGGTTAGGCTTAATGGCGTTAAAATTTTACGGATGATCAATGACAATTTATAAGTAAATTCTATACAATTATGAAAAAAATTTATCGTCATTTTCAACTTGAATTTAGATTTTAAAATGGGAAAAGAATTTCCGTTCTTGTCATGTGAAAAAAAATTTTTTTTTAAATCTGCATATAAACGCTTAAAGTTTTCTCAAATTGTACAAATCAAAAAAAAATTTTTTTTTCCTTCCAAAAAAAATAAAAAACAAACAAAAAAAAATAAAATAAAATAAAATAAAATAAAACAAAAAAAATAATAACGATAATGTTAAGTCTCCATGAATCTCATCACGATTGGCAAGATATCAAATCATATATATCTATATTCATATTTATGATGACATGGCTGTTAATAATTAAACAACGCTCGAAAGTTAGTAGTCATAATGTTGTCGCGATATTGGGTTGCAGTTTAATGGTATTTTTTGATGTAATCACACCAATGGAAGTTTTTAGTAGTATCCGTGGAGAGACTTTATTATTGGTAATTGCCTTCATGATAATTCATGGAAAGTTGGAGCAAAGAGGTTTCGCCGAATTTTTAAAACGTGTTTTACTCTATGGTAACCCGTCCCCTACTTGGTTATTGGCAAGGGTATCTTTACTTTCGGGTACTTTGGCTGCTTTAATCATGGATAATGGTGCCGTTACTTTCTTGAGCCCTCTCGTTTTTCGTCTTTGCGATGAGAATCGTCTCGAAATTGAACCATTCATGCTTGCGTTGGTATATTATCTTTGTCAATCGTTACCGAATCTGTATCATGTCGCCGTTATGCATAAAAGTTAACCGCATCTCTTTTTTTTCTTTCTTTCTTTAAAGGCAACATCTGCAAACATCGGTTCGATTGCTACAGGTACAGACAAAGTAAACTTCCTTGCTCGATTATTTATTTAATTATTTTCTTTTTGATTTCTGTTTAATATGATCGCCTTTTGATCGAAACAGTGATTGGAAATGTAAAAAATTTGATAATCATGGAGACTATTCCCATGATTTCATTTTTGGGATTCTTTACCCGCATGATACCCATTGCTATAATTGGACTAGTTTTGAACACGATATTTCTCATGTTTTATTATCGTAAAAGTTTTGCTGGACGATCGATCAAACCTTACAAACCACCAAAGAACATCACTACATCCCAAACGTCTTCAACAAACCTTTTGCCTCAAAATGTGATTCCGGGAGAAGCCGCAACACCACATGAACTCCCAGTCATGGAAACATCTTATGATTCTGATGAGGATAATTTCGCGTCAGGAATAATGAGTGATAGTGATGGAAGAGATGAAAATAGTGATATGGAAAGTAATGATGATGAATCGCTACATAGTGAAGGAGAAAATTCTAACCTTCTCGCACGTAAAAAGAACCCACTCCTCGCTAGACCACAATTTACAAATGCATTTTCTTCATCACCGGATCAAATACCACCTCCGAGAAATTATGCATATGAACACACAGTTTATATGAATGATGATGATAATGATGTTACAAGTCCGTGGGTGATTAGGAGAGAGAGTGGTTATAATCATAATCAAAGACAAACTCAACCAGCGTTAACAAGATTTGCTTGGGCCGCGCCAAATCCGGAATCTAGTACGCTTGGTTTACAAGGAATTGGATCAAATATACAAAAACAAACCGAACGATTTATCAGTGATACGAAAAATTTCTTTGGAAATGGATATCTATGGAAGAATTCTTTTTTTATCACGATAATGTTTGGAATGTATCTGGCATTGTTTTTTGAAAAAAGCTTTGGATGGACCACCGTTACAGTGGCATCTTTATTATTATTCATTGATAAAAAAAATGCTTCTAATGTTATTAATAAGATAAATTGGGGAATAATCGTTTATTTGATTGGTATATTTGGAGTCATGAGAGGTCTTTACGCAACTCCAATGCCTGATTTATTATGGTATCAATATGAGGAGATGTTCATTAGGCCTGATGTACGAAATATTTCAATTTCAATGTTCGCATTGGCGTTAATGTCAACCGTGTTCGCTTTAACTTTAACTTCCGTACCGGCGGTCCTTTTAATATTACCATATATACCAAATATAATTGAGCCAAGCCTGAGAAATAATGCTGGATATTTATTGGCTTGGAATGTTGTATTGATTGGAAATCTATCGGCTCGTAGAAGTTCTGCTGGTCTTATCGTCTCAGGTATGTCATTTCTTTACCTTTCGAAGTACACCAAAATATATTGATCTAATCTTGTTTATTTAATTTTTTTTTTTATTTGCTTATTTCAGAAATTGCAAAAGATCATTTATTTGATACACCATTAATTCGACCTCACGAATTTAGAGTGTGGGGGAAATATTCGGTTTGGTCAACTTTTATCATTTCAATCGTTGGCACTTTGATGATTTCATCCTTTCTTAAGTAAACATTGTTGAGGGAACTCGAGATTTTTTTTCTTTTTCCAAAATAATTTCTTATTATTACGAAAAAAAAGGGATTAGGATAGAATAATGAATTGTCGTTATTGTTATCTTATTTTATTTTTTATTTGATTTATAATGGACATTATCATACATTTTGGTGAAATACAATTTCCTTTACAAAAAAAAATAGAGCTTTTTTAAAGTTTCACCCCCGATAGAAGGAATAAATAAGTCAAATATTTCATTCATTTAATCATCAATTGGAACATGACCAGGCATATTTTCAACTCTACGTAACCAAGCTTTGATTTTAGGAAAACTATCAATAGAATATCCAGCTATAAGAATTTTTTTTTTTTAAAAAAAAAAAGGTTATTAAAGATCATAATTTTTTTTTTTTTTTTTTTGGAAAAAAAAGAGTTATGTACCTTCTTCAGCACAATGAGTATAAGCATAAAGTGCGATATCGGCAATAGTGTACTTATTAGCGACGAACCAATCCTCATTACTTAAATGTTGTTCCATGACATGTAAAGCTTCATAACCTTTTTTTTGATGTTCAACGATTTGATCAAGGTATTGAGGATCGTCACCTTTATTCAATAAAGTTATCCAAAATCTTAGAGAGGCAAAATTTGGTTCATGAGAAAATTGTTCCCAGAACAACCATTGCATTATTTTTGCTCTTTCTATTGGATTTGATGGAAATAATGGTGTACCATCCGAAAAAAACGTCAGGATCGCGTTGGATTCTGTTAGGATCGTTGATTGCGTCCCTATGACGGCTTCATTTTTGCTTTCGATGGGGGTAGAAGAAGGGGAGACCTCTGTGGAACGGGTAGTAGGATTGGCAAGTTTGTGAACATAATCTGGTGGAATTAATATAACTGGAACTCTTCCGTTTGATGAAACGTTGTTTAGAAAATTTTCGGTACGCGTTTCACCTTTTCTTACATCA